ATCATGAGTCCAGTTGTTTTTAGTTATTATACAATACAATTTTAGTCTAGTCGTCATTTTTAAGAGAAGTGCATATTATAACTTTGACTTCCATTCCAAGTGATTTTATTTTCCAGTTTAAATTTATGTATCTATAAACGAAAAACAAAGACAATGAATTAATTTAAAAGAGCTTTTATAATTATTATTATAACCTAAGTATAAACCGATTTGATGTTTATTAATGTTAGATTTCTCAGTGCGCCTATTAGCCAGTGTTTGTTGTGGCAATTTCTGTTCTGGCAAAAAAAAGGGGAAGGGAAAGTTAGAAGGGGAGTCATCTATGTATGAGTAATCGCTTTCATGCTTGATGACCGAAATGATTAATGGATTCTGGAAAATCGAGCCAAGTCCAAGATTAAACGCAACAGTTTCCAGCATTGATCATTTGTTATGCCCCACACAAAAACATCTATCCCATTCGAAGGGTTTTTTGAGATGGAATTAAGCCCTTAAGCCTTTAAATGGTGCCGGTAATAATTCCCCAAGCGGAAGATGCTCAATTGGTTTGCCAGGCAATTATAACTGTTGGTCTTAAATTGTAAAAATTTTAAATGTTAGGTATTTATTTAATTATAAATAAAATATTAAATTAAAATATAGAATTTTTCAAGAATTTCGCACTGGTTGCAATATTCCCAAAATCGTTTTGGATAAAAATTTTTGGCCTCCCCATTATCACATACTACTTCCTAAGTAAAATAAATACTTTTAAGATGTTGGCTTATTTTGGAACAAATACCTAAATTGCTCTCTTTGTATACACTTCAGATTAAAATATATTTTACGTATTCTGAATGCTCGACTAAAAGTAAATATTGAACAAAGCTAAAACTTAAAGCTTCAATAATAATTGAAATGTTTCACATTAACATAAAACAATCTGTTTATCTATCATCCAAGACAGTTTGGCCAGGCACAAATGATACTTTAAGTAAAGTAATAATTTCAGCCTTTAACTAAAATTCAGCATGAAGATTAAATGTGCAAGCATCTACTATTTTCCAAATATGCAAGTCCCACAGAAATCAGTAAGTCGCTTCGAAATTGACTTAAAATTATAAATGCATTTCCAGTTAGGTCTGAAATCAATTTGCTGAAATCATAATTATCAACTAGAAAATCACGTATTGTTGCATTTGCATAATATGTACTTGCAGACGGCAGGCAAATACAAATGACTTATTCCATGGAAGAAGCAACAAGCCATAAACAAGCCAAACGAGGAATGCAAAAAGGACTCTGTCTTTGGCCTTCTAAATTCTGCCGTACTTGCTGCTATTTTCTCCGCAAGTTTTTTCCTATTTCAGTTCATAGCAGTGCCGTTCTGATTCTGATTTTGGTGCTCTTGTTGGGGCCACTGGTTTTGTCATTGTTTTTGGGTTGGCATTTGCTTCGCCTTTGCTATCTCTGGCCGCAAGGATTAATGGGGTCAATTTGGCTGTGACACGCACCACCCGCCGCCCACTTCACCATCGCCATCCCAGCTGCAAATGCAACTGGCTTATAAAACATGCACAAATAAAAAAAACACGACAGCTTTCTAAAATTAACATAAATATATAATAAATATGAATTTCTATAGTTTATAATTTCTATAATTTCTCGGAAGTCAAAGTTTTTAATTTTAATTTCTATCAGGTAGCACATTCTTCTTATGATATTTTAAGTTAAAGTTTTAATCGAGCAAATACTGTATATGGTATATTTCAAGTCAATTTATTAAATGTAAGATAAAGCTTCTTGCCCTTGTCATTGTTTGGTAATTTTATAATAAGTAATAGTACAAAAAAAGTTGAAGTTTTAAGTTATGATTTGTGTGATATTTTCGTTGAGTGTTTCAACGAGATGCGGCTCATTTCTCGCCAGCATCGAATGCACTTGGCATCGAGAGCAAAAGCCGGGCCAACAAGCCGAAGACTAAGCCAAAGACAAAGATTCCATTTCAATTTACTTTTTTAAATTGCAAACTTTTGCGACAAGTTAAAGCCGCCACTACTCACACACACATCCACACACGCACATACCCAATTTTTGGAAAAAGGGAAAAGCAAACATTTCCCAGATCTACACACACGCACATCGCCAATAACACGCAACAAGAGAAATGCGAAAAGAAAGTTGAAAAACGAACCCAACTGAGGACGACAAATTCAACATGTCAGGCATTAGAGAGGGATAGATATAGATATAATGTGGAGAAAGAGATAGAGGGGAGAAAGAGAGATGGGGAGCTGTCACGAAGATGAAACTATTATCCACGGAAATTAGCGGGTTCCAATGACAAAAACACATGAAATGCAAAAACTTTCCGCCCTTCGCTTCAAGCTCAATTTCCAAATTGTTGTCGGCATTGTTCTGTTTCTTTTTGCGTCTGCCGCCCTGTTGTTTTCCCATAAGAGGTTTTGTTTCCTCGTGAAAACTTACTAATGCGCATTTAAGTGCGAGAGCATCCCCAAACCAGCACACCCACCAGGAACATTAAGTATTCACCAGTTTTCCAAGTAAGCGGGACTGCATTTATCATATTGTTTTATTTATTACCATTTCATAATACCATATAATAGTTTAAATCAAGTTGTTTTTGGTAAATCAAAATATATAATAAGTAAAAGCTTATTTAAGTGGAATTGCAAATAAGAAAAAGTTTAGATACCTAGATTGTATTACATGTTGTTGTATTACAAAATTGTTGTTCCCCAAATAAATTAAACCCTCAGCAGGTCATGTGGCATATTTAACTACGAATAACTGCTGCCGTACTCAATCGTTTTCCATTTGCGAAGTCAACCTCTTTAAGGCTCGTTTTATATTTATAAGTATATGTATCTCGTCTGAGTTATTTTGTATCTTTATTTGTGAGTACATCTTGAACGACATGCGAATTGCCCGGAAGGCTCTTTCCGTTTGACTTTGAGGCCATAAAATGTCCAAAAGGGAGAAACAAAAACGGAGGCACATAAAATATGCGTAAAATATATGCGCAAAAATAGTTGGGTCATCTAATGGCTGAACCAAGTCCAAGACCAAGATAATTGCGCTAGCCCGAATTTGTCCTCTGTGCTTTGCATTTTCTATTTGGAAGTCCACAGCTCGAGAAGATACACTCAAAAATTTTACGACCCTAAATGGCATTAAATATCCAAACCTACTTGACGCGACTTTCTTGGCTACGTGAATTTCTCAGCTCAGCGCTATTTCCCCTCGCTTTTCTTTTCGTTTTTCGTTGGATACATCTGGGTTAGTTTTTCTAGTTGCAAGTGGGGGGATAGGAAACTTGGGCAAAGACCTGAAGGGTGGGACTCCTTTTATTGCGGGCCATCAAAAAATGTTAAAAGCCCGATTTCCATGCCCATTGTCTGAGCCCGTAATTGCTTTGGCTTTGGTCCACTGAGTGTCGGCTTAGTGGGAGTGCCAGCGAGTTTGAATGAGTGTACTCTAGTCACAGATCCTGCTGTTCTTTTATGCATAAAAAAGATTTGTTCCTATATAGGTTCCATTTTTATTTAGCTATAGCACATAATCCTTGCCAGCCAAAGAGCTATAAGACTAGAATTCATTTTGGATTGCATTGATGAAAACCCGTAACGGTATTCTATTATATTAACCTAGGCATGTGCAAACAAGACAATAAACTATTATAATTGCACGGTACTAGACAATAGTTTTGCCTCTCCGACGGACTAAAATAATTATTACTAGCAAATTGCCACAACTACCTGTGCAATATTCTTATCGGAGTCAAAGCACGCACCCCTCCCTGAAACAATGGTCTTTGCTTTAGGTTCAATAGTCTTATCCATTGTGCCCTTAATAACATAAATTCTTCTCACTATTATTATTCCTCAATTTTGAATGGAAGCCCGTAACGGTAATTATATTATATTAACCTAGGCATGTGTAAACAGGACAATAAGGTACAAGTCAATAGTGTTGCCTCTCCTACGGATTAAAGTAATTATTACTCCCCAATTTCCACAACTACCTGTACAATTTTCTTATCGGAGGCAAAGCACGCACCTCACCCTGCAACAATGATCTTTGCTTTAGGTCCAAGAAACGCTTTTAGCCTTAATTCATAATCTTATCCATTGTGCTAGTGAAAATTCAATAATATGAAACAAATGATATAAATAAACCTAATTCTTTTTGGGTTTCGTTACTTTTTTAAAATGTTGGTTGTTATTAACATAGCCCAACAACATTCGTTCTCATCATTATTGCGTAAAAATAAATGTTATGTTAAAGTTAAGTTGCCAGAAACGGTTAAGGGACATGTTAACTGTGATAACATTTTGGAGACTTTAAGCTTAACAGACCGACAACTTAACAGACCGACAACTTAACAGACCGACAGGTAACAGAAGCCGCAAAATCTGTTAAATAGGTAAACAAAATAACAGCGAAATTAAAAAATATATTAAAAATAACTATAAAGTAAAAACTTTTAAAATCCTGACATGTTTAATTTTTTCAAAAATATTCGAAAAGAGTGCGATTTTGTCACTTAACTGCCTTGTAACCTGACCCGCCTAACTGACCCAGAAACGAGAAAACCAAGTAAGAGAAATCCGGCGACAAAGCTGCAAAAGAGCAGGCAGCCTCTCTCCCCACAACACGAAGTTGGCCAAAACTCTTGATTCCATCACGAAGTGCTTAACTTCGTCCTTGATTTCGTCAGCATCAGCAGCATCAGAATGCTGCCCTGCGACAATATGTTGGGCTTACTACATGGTCGCTTGACTGACTGGCCCCATGGACTCTTCTTCAGCGAAAGGCAAAGGAATGGCAAAAAGTACCAGCTCATGACATCAGCGATGGTCCGCTCTCCTTCGTCCTTCTGCTGCAGCGCTGCTCCGGCTCTGCCCCACTGCTGCTGGGAGTCGAAATCGCAATCGGGATCCTGAGCCGCAAGCTCGCAGCATCGGTGCTTCAGTCTCGAATAGCCTGCTGTGCGTGCAGGGGTTTTCAACGCGCGATACACGCGGCGTATACGCAACGCGGCCAATATCAGACGCCAAAAAAGACGAAAAATTGCGCGAACTAAATTGAGGAACCAAAAAATAAAATATATATATATGTGAGTGCCCGGTCTGCGTGAGTGTTTCGTCCTTTTCCCCACTTTATCGTTTGCCGGCTACCGGTTTCCCGTCTCCAATGAACCAAACAAAAAGGCATTGAACTGTGCCGGCCAGGCTGTTGTTGTTGTGTTCACTTAGAGAAAATATGCTTTATGAATACAGGCTTACCCATTCTAACATATAGAAAATATGCTTTATGAATACAGGCTTACACTTTCTAATATAAGGTGCTTTTATTTATAAAAATGTATAAGCGAAGCCCCAATGAAACATTTTTAAAAACAGTTTTGCAAACTTTTTGTTCGGGCTTGTGTTATTTAAATGCAAAGCATACCTTTTTAAGTATTCAAGTACTAAGATTTAAAAAAAAATTAGAATAGAAGAATTTACAAATCGACGTAATGCAGACGAAAATAATTAATAAAATACTTTCACAAATATTTTAAAACATTTTAAAAACCAAGATTTTATTATCGTACTTAAAAACATTTTGTTTTATGTTTTTAAGACATACATTTAGAATAAGAAAATTATATTTAATTACAACACCATAAGGCTGAAATTAACTAAATGTTGTAAGGCTATTATTATTTTGATTCAGTTTTCATCATGGCAAATAAGTGTATTATGAAGGTCATGAGACTAAAAGGGAAAATAATTTTATACAATTTATTTCCTAACCATAATATAATTTATAATTATATAGTTTTAGTGTTTCAAATGTCAACAAAATGTTTGTCTTTCGGATTATTTATCCTCAGTGTTATGGGAATTGGAAAGGGATACGGAATCGATGCCCATCAGAAAGTCTTAACAAGTGTAAAAGATGGGGAGGCTTAACCCTTGCCACTCGAGTGCGGCCTCTCAATGCTTCTGACAGTTTTGACCAACCTCTTACATTTCATTTTTTTTGGCAGCCGTGTTCACTTGTCTTCTCGAGTGTCGGCAAATTAATTAACATGACAATGACGAAGGTGAATTGCGTGTTTTCAAAATGCTCCAATCAGCTCTCAACAAAACATTACCACGTTTTAAATGGTTCAGCATTTTTTTCGAAATGTCGATGCTTGACAAGTCTTTCGTACTTTTCGAGGCGTTTACAAGTTTTTAATTAGACCCTCTGACAAATTACCGTTCGGAACACGGCACAATAGCCGGTAATTAAATGTTTATTGTCGGTGATTTTTTGGGTGCCGAAGGGCGTGATTGAAGTCGGGTAATTGTCGGTTGTATAATGGAGGACAAGTAATCCACTCGAAGGTGACTTAATCGAGCTGCAGATGAGGGCAAAGTAAAGTGAATGTGAGACATTTTAAGGGAATATGGAAACTCATATCGAAAACCGTTTTTATTACTGCTTATTTAGACCGATCTTTAATAAATCAAGGAAGGCACAATGTTGTGAATTTAAAATGTGTCTACAAGTAAGCAATATGTAAAAACAAATAGACCGATATAGACCGATAAACGCTTAATAAAAACATTTAAGTAAATTACATTTTTAATTTAAAAATAGTATTAATAGATACTTTTTAAATATTTCTTACTTATTTATGGTTTCTTTAGAAGATATGACAAGCTATTCTACTTATTCTAGCTTCTTAAAATTGTTGAGGGAATGTATTTCTATTTAGCACCTTTTACTTTATTTTATTCGAACCAAATAAATTATTTTTAAACCATTTGCATCCATTTTATTTCTCTAACTTTAACGCTGTGATTGGCACACAACAAAGCACAATTTTCCATATTATTTATGGAATAACGAAATCAATATCACATTAAATTTTCAATTTATGGTTCGTTCCGCTTTGCACTGCCGCAGGACTTGCTTTAAACTTGCGTCCTGGCAACGAGTGGAAGTTCCTTGTCATGCTCTGCTCGCTTTCCCCGAACCACTCAGAATTCAGAAATGTCCCCACCCGCCCGATGCTTTCATATTTGTCTAGTATTAGGGGTGAGGACTTTCAACTGCTGCTTTTGCTGTTACTGCTGCTGATTCTCCTGGTTCAAGTATAGCCACTTAAACCCTTTTGACAATGTCAGCCATCAGGCTCAGATGATGATGATGGCGATGACGATGACAAAGTGGATGATGATGATGTGGCTCAATTGAAAACAGCCGTCGCACAAGTTCGCTTAAAAAGAGAAAAAACACAAGCAGTTTCCATGCATGGCAAGAACATTAAAAATGATGAAAAAATTACAAGTCCAAATATATATATGAAAAAGGGCACAGGCAATGGATGATATGTGGATGGTTTCCACTCACTTAAGCTTCACTTGAGCCTGGTTGCCTTGGCTTTCAACAGATTTTCATGCATTCGGCTAATTTATTTCCCAGCCCAAAACTCATTAACTCATACATTTTTAAAGCAAACAATGTCCGCGTTTTCAAGTGAAATGCACACACACAATTCCTCAAAATTCAAGTGGAAATGCTTAGAAATCCGAGGTGGAGGCAGAGTGTTTTGCAATAATAATTTATAAATTAACGAATAAAGGGCGCACAGCAGCGGCAGCCAAAGGCAAATAAAAATAAATAAATAAAAATGGCAATGCGGCATAAAATGTGCCGAGAAGCCGAGTTGAGCCTCCATTCCATGCCGTTTTATATTTTTCTGTTGGTTTGAGTTGAGCAGGCCGGAAATGTAACTGCGACGCGTTTATTTTATTGCGTATACGCGGCGCAGCAAAGTAGGCAACAATTTTTTCGGAGTGAGTTTTCGCATGCTTTGTATTTGCTCATGTGTGCGTTTGAGTATTACTGGTATGTGTGCCAGTGTGTGTGTTATATGGCCGCCGCAGCAGCGGCTTAACTTATTTTCCACAAAATTAAACCATCAAAAATTTGCCAACAACAATGTGGGGGTAATTTATTTGACTCATGTGCTGCTGTTAGCTCGCCTGTTGTTTGGGCATAGAAAGCCACAGCAACAGCAGAATGTAAAAAGGCACACACACTTATAAGCACTGAAAAAAATGGGAGTTAAAGATTATTTTCAAACAAACAAAGCAACAAAGTTAGTCTAGAGTTGGTCTTACAAAAACCCATATTTTAATAATCCACACTTTGAGATTACTTTCGTATTGCTCTTAAAAAATATACATAAAAGTAATCTAACAAAGTCATATTTAAAGTTTTTTTTAAATTTTAATAGTTGTCCTAACTTTGAACTTCATTTTCTTGCAGTAAACAAAAAATGATTCAATATTTTAATAAATATTAAATAGCTCTCTCTTTAATGTTTTGGTTTAAGCAATTTACTCGCATATTATTAATTAGGTAAACTAATTTGTTTTCTGACAGTGTACCCATCCAAGCCGTTGGCGTTGGTTGTGGCTATGGTTATGTTGGTGACGCTTCCGCAGCCGCAGTGGCTAACACGTAAACACACCAGCGTAGGGCAGCACTCACACATATGCAAGAGATTCGGACCAACTCATTCACTTCGTCTTGTTCTTTGTTGGCTGGCGCACTTTTTGTTGTCGAAATTAAATAAACAGAGCAGGCTTCGCAGGCAGCTAAACTGCCACATTTCTCAGCCCCTAGACACGCCCCTCTGCCGCCCCCTGTGATGATGAATTGATGATAATGCCGCCGGGGATTTAGGCAAAGTAATGCATAAAACTCGTCGCTGTTTTCGGCGAACAACGCTTCCTATATACACACATACATTTTTTTTGGCTCTACGAACTTGGCTTTGAAAAGAGTTAAGCGTTTATTTATTTACATACATTTTGCTGGAGTTTTTTGGGGCTCGTGCTGCCCGGCGGGCTCAGTTTATTAAGTCTCAAGTGGTGAACCCCATTCTCCGACTGTTAGACAAACTCTTCCCACTCCAACAAAGAGTTTCAGTGCACTGAAGAAAAATTCACTATGCTTATTTCAATTGTAGAAGAACTAAAAAACTCAATAACTGAATTCAATTTGTAGTCTTTTATAATTGGCACTTGTATTTTGTTAGCCTCAGGCTTTTAGCAATAATATGAAAAATTTTAAAGTGTTTCAAAAATTGTATTTTACCATCAAATTCAACTTTGGTAAACTCTTTATTTGATTCATCAAAAGAAATAGCCGTTGCTAGAATTTTTTACATATCTTGCGGGTTTTTATAAATTGAATTAAAAATGATGGACTTCCGAACTAAAAATTAAACGGCTTGATATCAAAGTAATGCTGGACTCATCTTTCAGTGTACTAGACTCTGTCCGAGTTTGCTTTGTTGCCATTGCCGTTGGCTTAAACACAGCCAATTTCATGCAAAGTTGGATGCGCCCCCTTTCCATCCTCCGGTGACCTGTTCCATGTCCTTGATGGATGACTTTTGACGCCAGGCAACGTTTGGCGGCCAATTTGATTTGGGCCGCATGGGGACCAGAAGAGCCCGATCCTAGGGCCCCTCGGCAAGACCTGCAGCTCACAACTGTCGATTTGTCAGACATTTGGCGTGGGACTCGAGGCGACCAAAGTGACTGGGGGAAAAGCGAATGAGCCAAAGTAGCCGGCAGTGTATTACAGATTGAGTTTTGAATTGTTGGCATTCCTGTGTGCTGGAGCCAAAGCGATGGCACAAGATGGATGTTCTGCGAAACTGACTAAAAAAAACGAAGCGATAATATAGCATCTGGGTCCATTCAAGGTCCACAAAAACTTCGTAAATATGTATCTGATTTTTCATGAGAAGTTTACACTTTGGTTGTTAAATAAAATGTAAGGAACCTTTCAAAATTATACAAATTCTACATTTTAAGATGCATCTACGTAATACATAAATAAATCATAATCTTAAAATTACAAGTAATTTTCTTAAATTGTTACTTAAAAAAACAAAGAAAGATAACAAAAAACAAAGACATCGTTTTTAAGGTAAAGTCAAGACAAGTACAATTAAAAAACTAAGAATATAAAAAGGTCGAGTCCCATTATTCCTTTTTTTTAAGTTTACATATTTAAGACAATACATTTACATGTAATTTTAAGTTGATGAAATGCTTTCCCCAAATTGTATCCCTTTCATAGCTGGCACATATTTCCAACAAATTTCTCTGACGCTTTTAAGCCATAAGAATCATAGCCCAAAACAGAATAAGACCAGACTCAGATTCACCCATCACTTTTGTGGCCGCTCGCATGGCACAAAGACAATCCGCATGACGTATACGCCACATGGGTCACGGGTGTCATGGTAGCTGGTAACTCTGAACTGGTAGGTGGGATATGGCATCTGGGATGGCAGTTTTTCGTCTTTCCCACCAACCTGCTCTGCATTTCTCGTCTCGGCTGTAAGCCAATGCTTAAACAGGCCAAAGTCAATGTCTGCAAAGTCGTGCGACGAGACAGACGCCAAATTCCAAGAGCGCAACAGTATACAGAGAAAAAAATTATTTACTTATAATGGACAAAAAAACATGGTAGTCAGTAGTTTGCTTAACTAGATTATTCTTAGAACTTTAACTAATAAACATTGATATAGATGATTTATACGCTGTATTCATGAAAAATCCTTTTAGAGCAATAATTAAAATAAAAAAAAAAATCAATTAAAACTAGTGATAATTTATAGATCTAGAATGGAATATACTATTGAATTGAAACCTTTATTTTTCCGGTGTAGCTATAAAGCCATAAAGGAACAAAAACAACAGTAGCAGCCAAGTGGAGACCGTAGATGATAAATCTTTAACGTGGATTTTATGCATGTAAGCCAGCGAAAGACTCTCAGTCACGATATGATGCATGAGCCGTGAGCCAGAGAGTTTAATATGTAAACTCCTTCAAAGCGCTGAGTTTTCAGCATCAAAAGTGCAGCGGCGTTAATTTGCCCAATAAAATGCAACGAGCTAAGGAGAGCAACTAACGCAGCCATAAATATAATCAGCCACTGAGAGTCGGCGAGCAATGAAACGAGTTTTTTCCCCGCAAGACAAAGGAAAAACCGGCGGGGGAAAATCAACAGGGAAATCTCAGCGGGCGGTGCGCCGCATTTAGAGGCAGTGAAACTGGCAGCCATCGGGCACAGTCCTTCCTGAGACTCTGATCCTAAGTCTCCTGCTCCTGCCACCCGACTTCCTGCCGCCGCCTTCATGAGCCGAGCACTTCCGCTTCTTATCGCGGCAATGTAAGCGCGTTTCCGTTTAGGACTCAATCCCAGTCTCGTTTCGCAGCATCGGGAGCGGCATTAAACTAGCAGCTCGGCACTGGATTACAAGTAAATTGGAAAGGATTTAAAGATGAGCCTGCTGCGCCTGCTTGGTGCCCTCCTGTTGGCCACATTCAATGGTGAGTGCACTTTATATGTGTCCAAAATACACTACAATAAGACTTGGCAGATCGCCAACATCCATTATAAAAAAAATGTTATTTGCATATATACTGTTTGTTAGTATTAATAAAAATACTTCAAATTTATTTATTATAAATTGTTGAATAGTTTATAAAACTAAAATTTTGTTTGCCTAAAGATTGTTAGAATTACTTATTATATATATGCTATACATACATTTGGTATACATTTGTTTCTTTTAGGAATTTAATAAATAAAACACTAATAGATATCTTATTTAACATTTTCTAAGAACAATATTTCTTATTTCGAGTGCCAAATGAATAGCTGCTTGAAATTTATGAACATGATTACGGAAAACCCCTTCCCCCATTCCAAAAGTGTCATAAACGGTCGGCTTTCGCCCATTTGCTGCGATTTATTTGCGCTCTCGATTTATTTGCACAACTATTTATGTACGAACGCTGGCATTGGCAATCATAATAACAACAGTGCCAGAGCTGGGGCAGCAACAATTCAATAAATGTTGCAATTTGCATCGACAACTACAATAAATTTATCTTAAACGAACAAACATTTTTCTTGCAGCTTTGCCGCCTGACTGGCAAATAAAATGCGATATGCCAAAGGCTTATCGTTGCCACAAAAGGCTGTGCCGGCGAAAACAACAATAAGTAATAACCAAAGTTGCACACAAATTACACCATGGGAAAACCCTCGACAGCACTCACAATGCATTTCAATTTGTTAAAACACTCACTCACAAGCCCACTCCACATAAAAATGCATAAAAATCACATGAAAATGAAATCTTTTTGGAAAAAAAAGGCAAATTTGCAACATGTAAATTACGGAATTTCGTCAAGCGTATTTGTCAAAATAATAATCACATGTGTATGCATTGAGGATTTCCTTTTTACAGTGTGAAGAGAAGAGAAAATAGGAAGGACTTGGATATATCCAATTGAAATATTTATTTCTAAACCTCAAATCAAATTGCAAGCTAATCTGTAAGCTGGGCAATGATAAATCAGAAGGCACACAGAATTTCTTAACAATTTGTTTTCCATTTCAAAAACGACAACTAATTGACAATTATTTTTGATCTGTGATGGCATTTCCCTAAGTCACGACTTGATTAACAATTAGTTCTACAACCTTCTCTCCATGTTAATTTCAACATTTTGTTTTACTTTTTTTTTAACTTAAAAAAAACTACAAATAAAAAAGTATTGTATTCTTGTCTAACCAATTACAAAATTTTACTTGGTTTCAGCAAAATTAAACAATAACGCCTAAGTGACAAAAAACTAAAGGGTAGAGTAAATTAAAGAAATCAATGAGTCAAAAGGAAATTATATACATTTTTTATCTTACTTTATTTTTATCATTTTTTTTTTGGTATGCAATGAACATAAACGAACTTTTAATGGCTTTAAATAAATCCAATGCGAAGAGATTTTCTGGTTATTATAAGGCCAAACACAACGAGGACCAAGCCAATATTAAAACATTTGCATGTCGAATTAAGTATTTTGATTTCTCTTGGCGCGCAAACAGTCTCCATAATAATATGTCAAATGCAAATTATGCATATAAATAAGAATAAATATATAAATCAACAAATAAATATGTCGCATAAAAAGATATGTGTGTCGCGCACCCGCATCTTTGTGTAAAAGTCAATTTGCTGTCGCCGCCCGAAAGTCGCGAGTGTCATAAACATGGTGAAATGTGCGCGAGACCGCAACGCCGCGGCAAACGCCATCTGCGAATAAATAAAAATCGAGCGCAAGAGCGGAAAATGCAAAATAATTGCATATTTATGTGCGCCCGGCCACTGAGCCAAAGAAGCTGGATTCTGAAAAGGCCGAAAGAGCTGCGAGTTGCAGCCATAAATCCCAAGCGGCTTGCCTGCTTTTAATACTCGTACAACGAATCCCAGCACGAAATGCGCAAATGTCTGACTGCTCGTAATATTCGCCATATTCACCATGCAGCCAGTCGTCAAACTGCCCGGCTGAGGGCGTAAAATTATTTCAATTAAATAAATGTGCTTTTTTCGATTTTTGGCTTAAGAAATGGCATTTCCTGGATGAATTTATTAATTCGCTAAGAATTGGGCTAAGAGAAAAGAGACTAAAATCACATTAAAGTCTTCCAGTAATTCAAAAAATATTATATTACATATAACAAATAAGAAAGCGTTGAAGATTTCAAATGTGGCTTTCGGTAATTTATATGTTATTTTAACTGTTGGTTAAAGTATTAAGTTTACCGGAAATATAATAACGTGTATTATTTGCGGGGAAAATATCTATGATATCTCTTAAAAACAATAATCATTTTTTGTGATATTTTTATTTTATGTGTTTTGCTCAGAAACGTAGTTTGTATTGTTTTATATGGATAATACATTATTTTAGTTTTACTACCCACTACTACACTTAAAAACGGAGAACACACCCAATTAAAGAGCAGGGACTAAAAGGATTGCCAAAATTAGCAGAAAATGACCGGGGGTTGATTGCGCAATAATTCCCCCTAATCACCCCTTGGTCGGGCACACAAAGCCAATGAAATTAACTAAAAATCAGTCAAGAGCATGAATGGCAGCGTTTTATCTGGTCGCTTGTCTTTCGGCCATTATCTTTGCGTTTTGTGCGGCGGAAGAGGAAGCGCGTTTGATAATAACAATAATAACAGCGCCAACACTTGGCTATTGTTTTAGTGGAAGCCAAGCGAAAAAGCAGCAGCAACAACAAGATGACACTTTAATGGGACAAATGCGGAACTAAACCAAAACCGAAATCAACGAAAAATGGGTGTGGAAAGCGACTCCCTCCAGCTGTCATAATGAAACTGTCAAGGACAATAGGGGGCCAACGGAAATACAAAGTGTACGTGTGTCCCTCTGGAAAAGTCCCAACCCCCCAGCACCCCTCTGGATTTTCCACCCCCCCTTCCCTTGCGCATCCGCCACTTTCCGGTTCTGCGATAAAAGCGACAAACGAAAATTCTGTCTGACGGGCAGAGGCCATTTATAAGAGCATCAGTTACAATAACACTGCAGGGCGGCGGGCGGTGGGTGGCGGCCAAAGGGGGCGTGGCCCTTACAAAAGCCGGGGCCATTGTCATAAATTAAAAATGAGGAAGTGTATGAAAATAAACAAAAAGCCAAACGGTCCAGCCAGCTAGCCGCAGCGGAAATACAAAAAGCGTTGATAAATAAATTTCTAACAAAACAAACTGCTTCCAGAGAAAAGACCGCATAAAACCCAAAGTTAAGCCCAAGAAAAGATATTGTGGCCCAGGTCAAGATCTCATACTTAAAACTTAAGACATCAGTAAAGTTATTAAATGACTTTAAAAATTTGATCTGGAAACACTTACTTTTTTACTACATATCTATAAAAAATATAAATGTTAAGCTTTATAAGAACATTTGTATTTTCATTTTTAAAATATATAATTGTTTTGAGCTTTCGTTTAAAACACACCTAATAAAACCTTAACGATTTTGAAGATTTTGAAAAACAAATTTATTGTTAATTATGTTTCACGTTATTTATTTCCGCACATGACCTAACCTATTCTAAATCGCCTTGGAAACCTGAAGGACAGGTCCTTAATAAGGACTCATAATGCTTCGCCAAACATAATACCCTGCCGAAAATCTGTTCTCACACTTGAAGCTATTTTCTGAACGCTTTAAACTTCCAGTTTAGGGCGATACCGACATTCAACGCGTGCCACAAATTTCGCAGGACGCATTTTATGTGTCGCAGCACTCCATGCCCCCCCTTTCCCGGCCAATTCCTTTCATGCCACTGCAACAACAGCTACATTGGCCAAGAGTTTCTGGGTGCAGTGGCCAACAGCAATGTCCAAAGCCGCTGCGGCTTTGATGGAATTTGCGAAAATACTGCACGAGAGAGACTAGCCAAAACAAATAAGCAAGAAACTTAAATTGAAAGGCGACTTTTAAATACTCTAAGTGGTTAATTTAATACCAAAATCGAATAAGTAAAACTTTGAAACATTAAAGTCATTAAAAACTATTCTGTTAATCTTTGATAAGTAACTCGATGTCAATTAATGTCTTGATTTATTTACGTAGAGACCGTCATGTACGCTTTGCAGAAATAATCTAATGTAATTATTTACATCGGTAATAATCTGCTTAGTTAAAGTCAGGGTCAAATGACTAAATTTAAATTACTCTCATAGAGTTTATAGACACCGATTTTAAAACGGCTTATCCCACAAAATAAATTCAACCGTAATTAGTAGTTTGAAAAGACACACAACATCATGCGTTTTTAAGAGAAGCCATTTATTTAGCCTCACTCATTTTAACTTTTCCAAGGTAAATAGCTTTAAAACATGAATCTCTGATAAGCTGATTCTCTTTTATAGAAAATGTTGCAGAGTTTGTTATCGCACTCACCCGAACCATTTCGACGACAGTTTCCGTTGGGCTTTTAAAACCAGGACCGTTTACCATATCCAAAACGTTTCATACCATATATTATAAACGATATTTTTTGTTTCTATTTTGTGCGGCTTATTTGGCTCGCATGACACGTCCAGTTTTAGGTTTTTGGGCCGGGTGCAGATTCTCGTGGGGCTTTATTTTGGCTTTCGGCATTTGTTTAAATTAAAGATTATGCACAAGTGAAAAAGAAGCCATGTGAACGCGAAGAAGGGGAAGCTATTTGAAATTTAAATATGCGAACCAGGGACGACCTTGGGCCACGTGGCGTATGATGGATTTGGGACCCTATGACGTCAATCGGGGAAACATCTGTTGTTCGCTCTTCTATTCGTCGTCATGTAAACAAGCAAATGGCTTTAAATTGCCGGCAAGTAGCAAAAGTACAATGAGCACAATAACTGTAATCGTAATAAGCCATTTAGCACTCCATCTTTCTTCCAGCTGCCTTTGCATATATTTATAATTCATATTCATATTGTTAATTCTCTGGACCCTCCC